GCTCCAGCCCCTGCCCCAGCCTCGCTGCCCTGCTCTGGCCACGCTCCAGCCCCTCCATGGCCTTCGTGGGGTGAGGGGCCCAGCGCTGAGCACAGGATTCGAGGGGCGGCCTCACCAGTGCCCAGCACAGGGGGACGATCCCTGCCCTGCTCCTGCTGGCCACACTATTCCTGATACAAGCCAGGATGCCACTGGCCTTCTTGGCCACCTGGGCACACTGCTGGCTCATATTTAGCCCCCAGGCCTTTTCCCGCCGGGCAGCTCCCAGCCGCTCCTCCCCACGCCTGCAGCGGTGCCTGGGGTTGTTGTGCCCCAAGTGCAGGACCCGGCCCTGAGCCTTGCTGACCCTCACCCAGTGGCCTGGGCCCATTGCCCCAGCCTGGCCAGGGCCCTCTGCAGGGCCTTAAATAGCAGAGCAATCCCTGATAATTTTATGTGGTGTTAGACTGGAAAAGCAGCTCTGCTCCAGGCCAGACTGGGGCTCTTTGCAGTTTGAAAAGTTTTAAGTCCTGTACATTTCCCCCAGCAGTGACCTGAAATTTGATGCACCTACAATACACGGAGCATGAATTTAACAAGTCTGGTTTGGAGCATTGCTTGAGACACTGAAAAAAGGTAACTGATCGCTGTGCTGGAAGATGGTAGAAAACAGTCCCAGCCAGGAGCAGAGCGAGCCTCCAGTCCCAGCTCCCAGTTCCCTGCGGGTGTCCTGGCGCAGGCCCCGGGGCTGCTGGTGCCCTGTGCTGCCTCCCTCCCCAGGCTGGAGGGAATGGAGTTTCTTAAACACCAACAAGCTGCTTCAGTTTCTATAATTTGCTTCCTTCAGGTCACCCACCGGCATGCTAGACTCCTCCTTTTTTGGGGCTCTGCATTATCTCCCCTGTCATGATGTGCCCAGCCAGCTGATGCTGGTACAAACCGCTGTTGTAAATCCAGGCGTGTGCTGGTTACTCTGTCAGAAATCATCCACCTTTCTGCTTTTCATGTGACACCATCTATAAGGAAACAGTTTGGTGACCTTTGATCAAGCAAGAAACATCACTGGCAGCTACCTGAAACAGCCTCACGGGGTGACAAACCAGCGCGGCCAGGGTGACGCGCTCCCCAGGGCTGAATGGAAGTGACACGGGTTAAGTGTAAAGGAAAAGCTGCTTAATCAGGAAATACGGGATATTGTTCCGCGTCCCTGTGCCCAGTACGTTCCACTGCATCCCGGTTTGCAGCCGCTCCCTGCTGAGGGCTCAGTCCACATCCCAGCTGCGGCTCCGAGAAGCAGCCACGCAGCCAAGTGAAATTCGCTTGGCACCAGCTGATTTTAACAGACGAGGGGGGCTTCCTTCCTGACCTCAGAAAACAACAGCGCAGCGTCTAGAAGCACTGCCTGCTGCCCCCGGAGCGGTGACGCCCGCCGCCTTTATTCACGCAGGCTTGCAAAGCAGCGATCAGACGCTCTCCGGCCTCTCCTCCTTAGCGGGTCACCGACTTGTAGGGGTGAAGGTGTAAATGAACACAATTCCCCTGGCTCCATTTTTACGGTTACTAAATCAAAAGATCCCCAAAAGCTCCTGCCGCAGAGGCAGCGTTTTACCTCCTTGCTGTATCGGGCCGCACACAGGGGAAGGAAACACCGGTGGTCTTGGTGTTTCCCTCCCAGCCTGCGTGGTCCCTACAGCCATTTGAAGCAGCTTGTGTGATTTTTTTTTTTTTAAAAAAGGCATATTTATTTAAAACAAAACACTTGGCCAAGGGGCATTCACAGGCGTGTTAACCAGGCAAACTTAAAAAAAAAAAACCCACAACGAAAGA